GTGTTATACCCATACTCTATTTTCTGTTGACAGGCTGTGTAAACCTCAGGTATCGGATATAATACTTGATCCAATGTGTGGGACTGGAGCTATACCGTTGGAGGTAAGACATAACTTGCATACCTAGACCACAATATTATTAAAAAGTGTTGCTGATGTGTTTTGCTTAAAAGAAGGAGATGTGCAAAGAATAAACAGTGTATATATATTAAATACCTCTCCAATAACCTTATGATTACACACTAACATCTACCATCTATACATCATTACACTGCACTACCGCCACTGACCTGCTGCAAATTTAGTGTAGTGTATTTAGTTTAAGTCTCAAATGGTCAGAAAGTACCAATAACATACAGTTTCATAAGGAAGTCTTACTTATGACTCATTCCTTTGATGTGTAATCAGACCTGTTTAGCTTGGATCAAACGTTTGATCACATCTGGCTGCTCCAGAAAGTAAACAGAGTTTTTCCAGGCGGTTACTGATATCTGATGAATTTTCATCCATCCACAACAATTCTCTTATCCATCTCTTGATTAATACTTTGAACACATAAATGCTGAACATTATCAGATGGGGTCTGCTGAGTGCTTTCAGTGGTTGTGTTAAGGTCAGGTATTAATTGTCAAATGTTTTTCTTCTCCAGGGGGCCATTGAATTTAACAGTTCATTCTACATTGCCGGTGACAACTATGACATGGCCGTTAACCGCACAGTCAATAATATATGTCACATCCAGAAACGGAGGGCAGAAAAGGGCAGGTGAGAGGGTGGACACCTGAAAACCTCATAAAGATGTTGTTTCAATATGCAATTTCGTGTCTTCAGAATAATGATTTGAAATCCCTTTTGGATCCTTTCAAACAGTGCATCTGGATTGCCCATTGACACAGTGCGTTGGGATCTGTGTAATTTACCCGTAAGGACCAGCTCTGTTGACATAATCATCACTGACATGCCCTTTGGGAAGAGGTACAGGGGAACAGTGCTGTGCAGTACATGGTTGATTAAAAAACATGTAGAAATTATCATAAGTTGGTGGATTTACTGTATCTTTCAGCACTTTCATTCAACTTTCAACCACCAGGTAAAATGTTTCCTTTGTTTTCTTGAAGAATGGGCTCTAGGAAGAAGAATTGGGACCTTTACCCATCCTGTCTGAGAGAAATGGCCCGTGTGTGCAGACCAGGCTCCGGAAAGGCTGTCTTGTTGACGCAGGACAAGAAATGTTTTTCCAAGGTAACCGTAATACCCATGTAGTTAAGAAACAGGAACTTCTGCTAAGATATTACAGAATATTTCCAGGAAAATAAAACACCATTTCATTAGAACTTTAAAATATATCACAGTGCAAGTCTTGTCTTGCCACTGATCCACTTTTTGCTTAATTCAAATGGTAATCTGGATTCACTAGCTGGCAGCGCATGCACACAACAGATTGTGTTATTGGGGATAACTGCCTTCCTCAGTAGTCTTACTGTTCATAAAGAAGCACCTAACGCACATCAATAAATAGACAAATAGGAGAGTGGCCAGTGATCCTTAAAGCTATGTGAAATACCACAAAGATGTCTAAGTGGGTGTATCAGGGGCAACGCACTTGATGTTTTCACTACCTGCATTGTTGTGCCTGTGCAATGATGCAGAAACAAAAAAAGGATCAGTTTTCTTGAGTTTGGAAACCTGTTTGCCTCTCCTTGCTCTCCTTTAAGGCTGCATTATTTTGGACAAACATAATTTCTCCTCAGACAGTTATAGAAACAGGCCTATTTTTAATTTATGTCGCGTTAACACTCCCAATAGGTGCTGCTTTGAATCAGTGACGATGAATAAAGTTAAAGATAGATGCAACCTTTTTATCCACGCCAAGGTAATAATATTAGCTATTGTGGTACAACATTTGTACTCAATTATAATGAGACGGAAACAGGTAGATGCATTTGTGCTCAGCAAATCGTTGTGGTAGTTACCATTGACTGCTGTTGGGGGCCCGGATGCAGCTGCAACCTGCATGCCCTCTGTTGCTCGTGTAGTAAGCGTATGTTTCTGGTGCAGCATAAGTATTATGTTCCATTTGAATACAATTGTATTGGTTTGTATCTCCGCCCTTTTATAATCAATGGTTCTGCTTTTTCCACACCTCAGTGAGTTTGAGATGGAGGCGTGTCGAGGTTAGACTAAATAGTGCATTGTGTAAACAAATATACAACCTGTTGCCATGGAAGTCGGTCTAAAAATAATGCTTTTAAAATAAGTTGTTTCTGTTTTGAAGTTCCTAGCCAGCAGTGGCCGTCTTGTAAGCGTCACCCACTGACTCACTACAGTTACTTTTTGACAATCTGTACATCTGTGCAATAATTCACATTTCTTTTTTATAACAGAATTTAATGAATGGTTTTATATTTCTGATAAAACAGAAGCCCAGATTATATTATTCACATTTTATGATTATTGGACAGAGCCTCTCAGTCTGTGAGGCGAAGCCAAAGCCGAAGTGTCTTGAACCTGCATTCTTCCTAATGGCCAGCAGGGGTCAGATCTATGGGCTGCAAATAAGAAGTTTGATGACGTTCAGAAATGAGCCGAGTTCTCACTTGATTTATTAGCTCAGTAAGTAGTTTGCTAACGAGTTTATGGTCTCAATATTACGTTTTAAGTCTTCTTCCGTGCAACATAATGCTCATTTTGTAAATGATGGTACCATTAAGTGTAAATTAGACAATAAAGCAGGGTCTGTTTTAGGGCGTGGTTACCTTGTGATTGGTCATTCTCAGTGAAACTGTCAAACCAGGCAGCGCTGATCAAATATGAATCAAGATTTTGTGACCTCATTGTCTATTTCTAGTATAAAACCTTTCAGAAACATATTTTAATGTATTGTTTATTTGTAAAAGAGGACACATGAGACCATTGTTTCCTGCTATAAACTTTCTTATCAGAAACTAAACACAGTCAATGAGCACAGCTCCACTTACTTGTAGTACGTCATGACTGCTGGCGTCACAAAATCAGCATGGTGATGGTCACAGCGGTGCTTTGAGCCAAATGTAAACCTTTGAGGAAAAGTCAGAGGATAGCAAAAGTCTTTCAAGTCAATTCATCCTCTGAGCACCGTGAAGGTCTGTAAAAAATGAATGGCAATCCATCTAATCCAGTAGTTGTTTGGACTGATTGACTGACAGGCTATATAAAGTCAGTGGGGTGATGGTGTTGCGTAAGGGTACAAATATATTTATAAAGTGTTTCTGATGTGAAGTCACTTGTGAACCCATGTTGGGGTCCCTTCAAGTTTCAAATGTTTAATTTATTAAAGCCCCCAATGCTTTACAAAAGTGTCCCATTCTAAAATGTACTTGTAATCAAGAAGACTTAACTTAACTTGTAGTGCTTTGAAGATTTTGGACCCCAGAATGAGGTCCTAGGTCTCAGTAGTTTAACTATGCGGACGTGGTGCGGATTAAACTCAGCTCAGTCTCTGCATCATGGAAAAAGACTTTCCCCAGCTGTATTTGTCTAACCAGGGGTCTTGTTTTACACAAAACAAATGTCTCATTTGTTAGTTTGCCCTCACAAGATTTATGTCGTCTCCAGGCTATCTCGAGGATGGGAGGACTGTGGAGGAAGCTGCTCACTGTTTGGGTCAATGTCGGGGGTTTACATGCTGGAGTCTACCTCCTCAAGCGGACCGGGGCCGTGTTTGGGCAAACTCCGGAGGATGTCTATGAATCACGAGGAAAGGTTAATACACAGGGGGACGAGAAGGATGACAAGCAGCTCTCCTAATTCCTGTCCTGAGTTTAAGTTCTGAATTTGTATTTGAGACCATGTTCGATTAACATTATTTATCTTCTCTTAGTCCAGGTTCTCTGGGCAAGTGAGCCAAGCAGCTTCAAGTGTATCATTTTTGTATTTCTCATTTGTTTTAATGAGACAAATGCCTAACTGGAAAGAGAACAGCTGTTTTCATGTCCACCAGAGCTGTGCTCTCACACTCTGTTTGACTGGCAGTTCATGTAACTGTTCAGAAACCAGCTTCACTACAAACCTCAAACCGGCTGTGTCCACTTAACGGTAACTGCACATTGCCATGTGTTCTGATTTAATAAAGATTCAAACAAAATGTCAGTTGTACATATTCATCGCAAAATACATTATGTGTGTTGTTTGTCAGTGACAGAATGGGAAGCTGTACCTTAAAAATTTTTTTTCTATATTTTGAGGAATATTGTATTATATTCGACCTGCTGGAAAAGAAAGCTGCACCTTATGAGTGTGTTTTGATGTTGTGGGCCATCACTCCGCTACAGCAGGGATGTTGTTTCCTTCAGTTTCCCGAAATTGGACGTGCTTGCCTGAGCATACATCAGGTGGGGCCACATAATCTAATATCAACTCATATTAACTAGAAAAGGAAGTCTGCAGTCGTGTGTGTGTGTGTGTGTGTGTGACTCAGAGTGAGAGTAATAGCCTATGTGTGCGTGAACATTTGCAGGCACGGCACTAGACGGGTATTCCTGAACAGGGAAAACCGTATGATTGTTTAGAGGAAACAACAAAGACATGCAGTAAATGATTAAGTTACTGTTTGTGATGTATATTGAATTCAGGTCTTCATTAACTACAGGTGACAAATAGAATTATTCTATTTTAACTTTAATTTAACAACTTTGTTTATATAATTCAAAGGGAAATATTAGTGCGGGTATTTTTACCACCGTCTGAAATTTCCTAACTCAATTTTAATAATCCAACTTCACCTTTTGCCTCTTTGCCTCTAGTAATAGGGAAGCTGAACAGCCCGTAACTGAACTTTCCCCCTGTAAATCGAAGTTAATGGGTCACAGTTCACTCATGATGATTTGCAAGAATGTCGTAGTAAGTGAAGAAACAAAGGGTTGTTTAGATGTCGTGACAGATGACACGGTGACGTAAGTGGGTTAGAAAAGCTCATAAAAACCCACGTGAGCGCCCATGTTGCCGCACTGATTCCGCGGAGCGAACAAGTAAACACGAGATGATCTGGACAATTTTCCTGCTCGTCCAAGCTGTCCTGCTTTATTTCATTCTCACACACAGATCGAGGTAAGTTACTGTTTGATTCACTTGTATTGTCTCATATATGAATACTGTAATAATTGTTTAGAATAAGGAAGCATTGTTCTTTTTCTGGTTTCTGGTTCTGGTTTTACTGGTTTATTTGCACACCTGTCAGTTCTAATGTAAATTCGTGGCTGGTTGAAAATCCACTTGTTGCTACTTCGAGGGGATCAATAATAATAACACTGTGGTCGTAATAATAATAAAGGAGTCAAGTTTTATTACCGCGAGCAAACACATGTATTTAGTCAGTTTAGTGGGTTGTTCCTAATCCAGTCTCAGGAATGTGGTTGAACAGTGTTAAATATAGAAGTCTACCTGTAAGGATTTTGTTACTGGTTTTAGTTTTCCTTTCAGGCAATTAAAAATGATGAAAGAGGTTCTGTGATGTAATTCTAACTAATCCCTGTTACATGACCTTTACGTCTATAACAATAATCTCATGATGAAAGGTTGGTCATACAAACAGACTGTACACTGTGTGTATAGATGGAAGGTGGAGGACCAAATACTTTAATGCCAGTAGGATAAAGTGCCAAACAGGCAAAGTAGCAACTATTTGAATTAATTGAATTAAAAAAATCAATATACACCTGTTTATATATATATACATTTGTATTTGTATTTTTTAGATCCAAGAGTGAACCACCTCTAGACAAAGGAGTTATTCCATGGTTAGGCCATGCACTTGAATTTGGAAAAGATGCTTCCAAGTTCTTGAATCGAATGAAGCTGAAACATGGCAACATTTTCACAGTGAGTAGAAGATAAAGGTGATTTACATTTGACACAACAATCTCCGCTCTGTAGATACTTAAATGATCATTTTTCTGAGAACCTTTAAGGGTTTATTTTCCATATTAGCATGCTAGTCTTAAAACTGCTTAGGGAAAAAAAGGAAATTTAAACATTTACAATTCAATGATAACTGGCCTCCCTCCGCTGAAGAAGATGATGTGATACAATCGAAAAGTTGTAGTTACGAAATAGACCTCGAGGTGAGATTGTTTTGCAAACTACTGTTTCCAAAGTAAAGAATGAATTTTATTATGCAATGCAGTTTTACTGAATGCTTGAAAGTCACTTCTAAAGCTAAATTTAGGGTGATTGCAACAGTAGAAAAGAGACGCCCTGTAAAGTGTGATAAAGGGCTGTGAATTGTACATCAGAGTTTTCTGCTTGTTATCATCTAATAAATTTTATCTACTTGTCCAAATGTTACTGCAGTGACACACCTCAGTGATTTAAGAATATGTTCATATTCATGTAACAGATGTAACAGCACGTTACAGATACCATCGTGTAACATAAATTTACATCAGGACATACAATGATTTTCAGTTATCCTGAAACAAAATACAAAGTTTCATATTTTTTGAGTGGGACTAACAATTTGATATGAGTATTGCATTCATTCCAAAAATACTGCATCAGAAAACAAAATTGAATTTGTTTAAAAGTATCAAGATAGTTCAGATATAAGTGACATAATTCCAACAATGTATTGTGATATAAGATATTATACACATTTGGTGGTTATTACTGTGTTCATTGCGAAGTTAAATACTCATAACATTACAGCATTTTAACTGTTGCACTGATGATGTATAGGTGCGTGCTGCTGGGCGTTACGTGACGGTGCTGCTGGATCCACACTCATACGACGCAGTCATCAATGACTCCGACTCCCTTGACTTTACTCGCTATGCACAGGTGCTCATGGAGAGGATCTTCAACCTGCGGCTCCCACATCACCAGCCGGCTAAAGCAAAAGCAATGATGAAAAAGTAAAGACATAACTACTTCATATTCCAAACTGAAAGCTTGTGCTGTATATTTTCATTTTCATTTTATGTGAATGTAGAAGCAAAATTTGTTTGTGGAAATTTACCTACTCAAGTCTCATGAAGAGTATCAGTGGATATTTCTGTAAAATGCTCTTCCCATTTTAGGAAATCTATTTTTAGGACTTCTTGTTTTGTCATTGCGTGCAGTCGTCATCTACACAGTATTTGTTTATTGTGTAGAACTGAAAGTATCTTAGTCTCACCACCTCCAAGAAATCAGGGGAAATCCACACGCTAGATAGATGCAATCTTTTTATTTTATGGTTTAAAATATTGACGTTTGGGGCACACTGCCTCATTCAGGGTTGCAGTTATATGAGTGTGCAGCTTTCCCCTTCCCAAATTTGTTAAATAATAAAACCTAAGGGGAACCAGCTCTACCAGGTGAGCTACCAAAGTTCCAAGGCTGAAGAAATATATAAAATATATATATATAAAACTTAAATGTTATACACCGATCAGCCATAACATTATGAGCATTGACAGGTGAAGTGAATAACGCTGATTATCTGGTTATCATGGCACCTGTCAGTGGGTGGGATATATTAGGCAGCAAGTGAACATTTTGTCCTCAAAGTTGATGTGTTAGAAGCAGGAAAAATGGGCAGCGTGAGGATT